GAATCGGTGAAATCTGAGAAGCCTGGCGACTAAGATTGCATTTGAATGGCGCTGTTACCAACTGCCTGGACTGCATTGTAAACAAAACAAAACAAAAAAAAAAAATGTCTTTTATTACTAATAAGCAAACAGATCGCTTATTTGTGAAATAACAGTGTGTTTTAAAAATTTATTTTTTTCGTTTTTTCTTGTCGAACCGTTCTGTGTTCGCTCCTGTATATTATTGAAGTGGCGCGCCGTTTTCCCGCGCATTTCGAGACGCATAATTTTCGCTCGCAAGCATGGAAGTGTTGTTTTCTTAATGTTTTTCTTAGTAGGTAGCGCAAGATATGTGTGCGCTTGATTGTGCCTGATTTCACAGATACGCATTCTCTGTCTGTGTATTAGGGGGGCCCGATGTTGCCCTTTTTTTCAGCACACGATTGTAATTACTGTGCCAAATAGCCAAATTCTCTTCTTTTTTTGTCCTGTTTCAAGCATCTGTAATGCTATGGCTTATGGTACTGTACTGCGACGAAGAGAGCGTTTTTATTGAAGAGAAAGATAAAGAGTTGTGGATTTTTACCGCCTTGAAAATACACTCACAACAAAGATTCACTTCAGAACACTGCCAGGATTTTATTGTATTTGCCAAGCAGTACATGGCGAGTAGGAGGCTGTACTGATGATTCCCGCTCCTAGCCGCATGCATAGTTCAGTCTGTGTTTACATCCAAGGGATGAGACACAGAGAGAGTGCATCGCGTAAAATGTCTTCTTACACATGACACTCAATCCAATCCCTCTATTCTACTATTTTTCAAAAACCCAAATAAACATCAGAATCGCGAAGAAGTTCATGTTTCATTGGGGTTTCCGGTTTGCGCCGCCAATAATTGCAACTTGAGCTGGAAGATTTTCATCAACGAACGCCACATCGCAACCTGTGCAACTGCTTGCTCTGGAGGCAGTTCATTCTCATCCTGCGCTGGCCGTTGCAGACTTTCGGCTTCCTTGTTGACGCGGTCAATTTCCTCCTGCAAATGAGGAAATATCAAGATCGAAGACGTTGAATCAAATACAGTACACAGCAGTGGACACATCGAGGACGGAGCTCTGCTTCATCCCTTAGCTGTAAACAGCGACAAAACAAATAAAAATAGTGAAATAGTCTACATATAAATACATAAAATACAAATCC